CGACGCGGGGCTCAAACTCACGGAACGTGAGATCATGACCTGAGCTGAAGTCGGACGCTTAACCGACTGAGCCACCCAGGCGCCCCTCATCTCTACACATTCTAATAGGTTTGTTTTCAAGTCTGCTTAGTGGAGTTATTTTTTTCTGTAGTAATTTGTCCTTAATATTTCATTTCTCATGTTTTTACTTTCAAAATTACCATTCAGAGCGTCTACCATATTGCTCAATTATCTGAAACCTTGAGCATCTAATTCTTCTGTTTAAGAAAATCTATTGAATTTCACTCATAATGAGATATTTTGTAACTCTTTAAGTGCAGTCACCATCTGTCACCAATGTTATTACGGTATTATTGACGATATTCTCTATGCTGTACTTTTAATCTTTGGGGCTTATTGATTTTATAACTGGAAGTCTGTACATCTCAATCCTCATCACCTATTTTGCCCACCCGCCCACCCCTCCCTCTGGCAACCAACAGTTTGTTCTCTGTATTTAGAAGTCTGGTTTTCTGTTTTGTTTTTTAGTCTCCATATATAACAGAAATTACATGGTACTTGTCTTTTCTTAGCATAATACCCGCTGGGTCCATCCATACACATATACCACATTTCTTTATCCATTCATCTACCAATGGACCTCTAGGTTGCTTCCATGTCTTGGCTCTTGTAAACAAGGCTGTAATAAACATAGGAGTGCACGTATCTTTTCAAATTAGCGTTTTCATTTTTGGAGGGTGAATACCCAGTAGTGGAATTATTGGAACATGTGGTGACTCTTATTTTTAATTTTTTGAGGAACCTCCATGGTTCTTCAAAAGCCCTACACCGTGGCTGCACCAATTTACCTTCCCACCAACAGTGCGTGAGGGTTCCCTTTTCTCTACACCCGGGCCAACACTTGTTAGTATTATTTTTTTACTGTTTATTTTTGAGAGAGAGAGAGAGAGAGAGAGAAAGAACAAGTGGGGCAGGGGCAGAGAGAGACGGAGACACCGAACTCATAGCAGGCTGACAGCACAGAGCCCAATGCGGGGCTTGAACCCATGAACTGTGAGATCATGACCTGAGTTGAAGTCAGATGCTCAACGAACTGAGCCATCCGGGCACCCCTTATTTTATAATTTTTAAAGTGCATATGCAGTGAGACTTATTTATGCGAAGCCTGTGCGGCTGGGACCCAGAGTGGGTGTTTGCGCTGGTTTTGTATTCGGTTCTGCCACTTACCTACTGGCATGACTGGGCCCATGTTCCAGTTGTTTTTCTTTTTGCTTGTGGTTTCCTGGGTATCAGAATTCAAACCCCAAACCCGTCTGTGGTGTTGGGCTCACGGTTACAAGTTTTCAGCAGAGACCTTGTTCTCCACGTGCAACACCTTCCTTGTTTATGCCTACGCATGGCCAGTTTCTTCCCCTGACAGTGTAGCCCATGGAAGGCTGTAGTTCTAGCATTAAGCTTTACAACCCTAACCCTTCGATACCCGAGAGCACCCCCACTCCTTCCCCTGGAAGCCAGAGAGCCACCTGACTGCTCTAGCTGTCCGTCCCTAATTATTTCAGCCTCCTGGGGATTTCCCTTACATTCTAGTGAGATCAGCCCTGCGTACAAAAGGGACGCTGGTTATATATTCCTAGCTTTTGTAGGTATTTGAGGTGGTGGTGGGGGGGGGGATTTCAAATTTATTAGTCCACTGCACGGCTAGAACTAGAAGGCCTCCACCCTACAATGATGATTATATAAAAATATCACCAAGCAATGGGAAGGAACAAAGGCAAATGGAAATAGATGTGTTTGAGGAGTGGGATTAGAGATGAGAACTTCGTTTTAGAAATTACCCTTTTATTATTGTTAATGCAACACAATTCAGGAAAAAAAAAGAGCTGACCTAAATAAATAAAACTCTTAACTAAGCCAATTTTTTAAAAAAGGGCCAGCAGGGGCGCCTGGGTGGCTCAGTCGGTTAAGCGGCCGACTTCGGCTCAGGTCACGATCTCACGCTCCGTGAGTTCGAGCCCCGCGTCGGGCTCTGTGCTGACCGCTCAGAGCCTGGAGCCTGTTTCAGATTCCGTGTCTCCCTCTCTCTCTGACCCTCCCCCGTTCATGCTCTGTCTCTCTCTGTCTCAAAAATAAATAAACGTTAAAAAAAAAAAATTTTAAAAAAAGGGCCAGCAGCACAGCTTGGGTCATTAAATGTTTATTAAATCAAGCTTTTAAATTATATCCACCTACAGTCTGTAAACAGATACAGTATGCACATAAGTAAAAGGCTCTCGGATTAGAAGTGGTGGAAAAACGAAAGATCCCTCTGTACACGGGCGCCTCATCCCTCCGCGGGCCGATGCCATGGGGCCAGGTTTTAGTTACGAGCTGAATGATAAACCAGTTTAGCTGAACTCCACCTGCTAGGATGGATTTCAAGACAGATATTTGTCCCACGTGATAGTAGGCTGGATTATAGCAAGGCAACAGTGTAGTTTTTACATTCACAGATTGGCTGAACAAATTAAGCTTTTCTTCTAGATGTCTCCCTCCCTATTACCATAATTAGTAAGAAATGAGAATTAAAATAAATGATGGACCACAGGTGGTTACAAAAATAGATAACTCGTAGAGTAATAAATATCTACAGTTAGCAGAGCACAAACTTATAAAATTTGTCTTTTTCCATAATGTGCAGAATATTGTAAGTATGTTCAAGAGGTACAGTCAGCAGACTTCAGATCAGTGAGAGAACATTCGTAAAGAAAAAAACCATCAAGTACAAAACCCAGATTAGGACGCCGAATGCAGATGAGAATATACGTAAGACAAAATCCTAACTCCTCACATCTAATTATCCTACTTAATAGACACCACGATTAGCTTACAGCCCTTTACGTATCTTAAAAAGTAACTCTTTGTTACCTATGTACAAATTTTAAAAAAGAGTAATCATGAGACAAGCAATAATTGATTGACTTAACAGTGGCACTAAAATCAATAAAATTTGTAGATTTTGTGTGCTTTCATATACTTCTGTGTACAGGGATTTAAAATGCCCCCCAAAATGTTTTGGATTGAGTTTTTAAAATTCCCACAAAAATCTATCCTACGGTCATTTCAGGTATAGAAGGGAAAAAGCCCCAAACTGAAAGAAAAAAAAAAAAAGTCAAAATCCTACAAAGTGACTGAAAATCCATGAATATATAAGTGACATTCATATGTTCCCTTAACACTTACCAAGTGCTATGTAAGGTAACTATAATGCTATCCTGAAATCAGTCTCATTTGAGAAGATACAGTGATTCCCATTCTAATTCTAGAATTAAAAGCACTTATTTGACATAATGTGCGTTTCAGCGAGGTTGACATCTACCTGTTGTACTGACAGTGTCACCTTAAATAAAGCTTCATCCAAGAGTCACGGCAGGCCTGAACTGTAAAAGCTCGGGGCTAACACCGCCACAGGTAGGTGGCTATTCATCCTAACTTTTGAAGGGAGCGAAGGGTATACTGGAGCTGTCCTCAGGTCACCTCAGCCTCGAACAGCGTTCCCTTGAAAACTTGGCAAGTTTCTTTGCCAAAAACACCTCCATAGTCTCGAATGTGTTCGAGACCTGCCGGGTTAGAGAAGTTCCGCTGACACACTGACATGCACTGTCCACCTTCAAGAGGGATGTGCACGGGCAGCTTTCCCCAAACACACTTGACCTTGCCAGGGAACACCTGAACAACCCGCGATCCCAGGACACTCATTTCCCGTGGAGCGTGGTTTGAGAAGTGCCGATCTGGGTAGGATTTCTCAAGTAGTGGTTCTCAAATTGTAGTGAGCATCAGAAACACATGGAAGGCAGACTGAAGCATAGATACCTTACCCCGCTTCAGTGCCTGGGGTGGGGCCTGGGAACCTGCATTTCTAAGAGGCTCCAAGTGAAGCTGATGGAATGAGGACCGCGCGTTGAGTGGCATGCATCTAGACGATGCCCCACGCAAATGTCAGCGGCAGAAAGCCCTGCTAGAATCTCAGCAAAGGCTGCACATGGCATCTGCCACAACCAATTAGCTGCAGGTCTTCCAGCCCGGTGATGCCTGAGGTCTGGGCACCTTGCTGGGGTGGGGGGGGGGGGGACGCTGGACTTGACTCCCAGCTCAGCCCCCACTCGCCAGGTGACCAGGGCACAGGACTGCAACTCAAAAGACGAATAACAGAAGCCCCCTCTCAGTGGATCTGTGAGGCTTAGAGGAAATGTTTGCACAAAGGTCTGCCTAACAAAAAGCATCAAACAAGGGTCATTAATCAGAAGAACGTGTCAGTCACAGCAGGAAAATCCCCGATGCATTTTCTGCCTTCCGCCACTGCTAAGCCTTTATGAAAGGAAGCACATTCTGGCAGCCAGTGAAGAGAAAAGGGGCTAAAAATGCAGAGAACTGCAGCAAGGGGGAGATACATTAAGTGGATCACCTCATTAGAAGTATCTAATTGTCAAAAGAAAATCAACCCACAATCGAAGTAGTTAACTATGCTGGCTTTGAGCTAGAGTTTGAGTTACAGTATGTTGATCTTTGAACACGCTCACTCCTCCATTCTACCATGTTAATGCTGGTTCGGTCTTAATATCAAGATGATGAGGAAAAAAAAAAAATCCCTTCACTCAAATGCATATGGATACAATGTAAAAAAATTTAGCTGAGATAGTTCCCATCTGCAAAGCTACCACGGTGGGAAATTTTCAAAAGTAATTTTTAAAAAGGACCTTTAATTTTGGTTCATAGAAACATCCACGGCATGAGAAATGAACACAGACACGCACGTTCACACATGTGTCTAGTTGTTGCCCAACACATCTTAGCCGGCGAACTGCTTCTGGCAATTCAAACACCAACCGGTAAAAATTCATACACACACTCATGATGGGATTAGGGTCAAGCGAACGTCGTATTGCCAAGTCCCAGTTTCCATTTGAACGAAAAAGACTGATCAAGAAAGGCAGCACGGTCCCCTGCACACCGCACGAGCCACTTTATACGTGCTCTGGATGGCTCTGGAGACAAGACAACATCTCTTGCACGGGTTTGCCTTCGTAGCAGATCTGATACACGGCTGTAAACAACGGGAACCTGGTTGGGAAAAAAGAATGTGAAAAGACAAATTAGGCCATCTGGTTTACCCCCCTGAACAAAGTCGTCTTCCTCTCCTGCCTAACGGATCGCAGGCAGGCGTGCTTCTCTGGACAACACAGTGAACGCCTTCCACGTCCGTTACTTGGTCGGCAGAGAGCCTCTGCACTGCGGCTCTCGTCGGTACGACCCAGACCACCCTCTGCCGACTTGTTTGGAATGCACGGTCTACAGAGGAGTCATGGTCATCCTCGCAAGGGCCATCTGTGGTCATTTACATGCAGTTCAGGCTCTTGGTCAAGTCTGGAGCGAGTCCAAGTTTCTGTCACTGTGTTAAAAGGCGGGAGAATAAATTTTAACTTGCAAGGAGGTACTGCTCTCCCTTCTCCAAAGGGGATCACCCAAGGACAGAGATGAGGCAGCCCACACGTTACCAGAAATAGTTCAGGCCTGGAACACTCCTGCAAAAATCAATGTGGGCACCCACAATTAGCAAAGCACTGATCTCAAGTTGGAAGCCGCGCTGTGAACACAAATATAAAGGAAGGTTTGAAATGGCCGAGGGTATAAAGGTTTGTGCTAATAAACCACTGTGAGAAAAGACAGCATTATCCCCAGGGTACAGCTGGCTCAGCAAGTATTTTTTAATTTATTTTTTTAATGTTTATTTTTTTATTTTTGAAAGAGAGAGAGAGAGAGAGAGAGAGAGAGAGAGGAATCCCAAGCAGGCTCCACACTGTCAGAGCAGAGCCCAACGCAGGACTCAATCCCACAAACCAGGAGATCATGACCTGAGCCGAAATCAAGAGTCGGATGCTTAACTGACTAAGCCACCCAGGCATACCAGTATTTTTTTTTTAAGTTTATTTATTTAAGTAATCTTTACACCCAACATGGGGTTTGAAGAGATCAACCCCGAGATCAAGAGTCACATGCTCTTCCAACTGAGCCAGCCAGGAACCCCTCAGCAAGGATTTTTTTTAACGGCAGATATCACTAAGGAAGTAACAGTTAATTTGAATCAGGCTTGAAACAGTTAATTTCAATCTCACACACACACACACACACACACACACACACACACACACACGCTCACGCTCACGCTCACAGCCCAGAGTGAGTTTGACAGAATCAATAGAGTCTTAAAGGCCATTCTGAAAATGATCTAGCTGGAATCCTTTAATGACAACTTAATTTAAGAAGAGCAAACAGCTCTGATAGGTCATACGTCTATCACTGGCACAGAATGTTTTGTTATTTTTTTTTGGAGTCAAATCTGACTCCATAGCCTATGAGCTCTAGGCAAGTTTCACAACCCCTCTCGCCCTGTTTGCAATGTAATATGGGGCCAGACCTGTTGTCTTACGTGACTTCTATTTAATGTGTACAGTGTGCACGGTGGGTATGCAGTAAGTGACAGCTTCTACACACAGTCACAAGATGGCCACCGCGTCCTAGCAAGCTCCCAGAGGACAGAGCCCCAGTCTCTTTTGTTCACCTCTGCATCCTCAGTGCATGGTTGGTGGGGAGGGGCTACTCAGGTGCTCAGCGAGTGTTTATTGAATGGACTACTGCGAACGGGAGTTAGAGCCTGCAGACTTTTGCCCCTTTTTTCTTTCCATGGCTTAGTCTTCCCGTCCCTATGATGAGAAACTGTGCGTCCCCAAAGCACGGGGGCAGGTGACGAGTGGCCACCCAAAGCCATTCCCAACCCCCTTCTCTCTTTACCAACGTTGCCAATAGCCTAGTGCTCACTTTCCCAGCCTTTCCTTCTCCTAGAGTTAGTCAATGAGGCAAGTTCTAGCGAGCAAGACACAACACGTCCGCGAAGGGCTTCTGGGGAAGGCACTCCTCTGCTCGAGAGGCACTGGAGGGAAACTCTGCTCCCCAGGACTGCATCTGCCCTGGGTCTCTGAGTGCAGCTGTGTGAGTGTGTGAGGCATGGAACTGCTGCCGCCATCTTGAGCTTTTGAGGGAAAGCCAATGGAATCACTGAGATTCTAATCTTTTTTCATTTAAATCCAAGTTAGTTAACATATAGTGTAATAATGGTTTCAGGAGTAGAACCCAGTGACTCATCCCCTACCTATAACACCCACTGCTCATCCCGACAAGTGCCCTCCTGATGCTCATCACCCATCTAGCCCATCCCCCCACCCCCATCCACCCTCAGTGTGTTCTCTGTATTTAAGAGTCTCTTATGGTTTGTCTCCCTGTTTTTATCTTATTTTTTCCCTCCTTTCCCCTGTGTTCATCTGTTTACTGAGATTCTAATCTTAAGGCACTGTGCCAACACCAATAACGTCCACCTCCAAAATCCTTGTTCTATGAGGAAAATAGACCTATTGTTTGAGCATTTAAAAAAATTTTTTTATGCTTGAGAGAGAAAGAGAGAGAGAGAGAGAGAGAGAGAGAGTGTGTGTGTGTGTGTGTGTGTGTGTGTGTGTGAGAGCAGGGGAGGGGCAGGGAGAGAGGGAGACCAGAATCCCAAGCAGGCTCCAGGCTCTGAGTTCTCAGCACAGAGCCCGATGCGAGGCTCAAACTCATGGACCATGAGATCATGACCTGAACCAAAGACACCTAATCGCCTGTGCCACCCAGGTGCCCCATGTTCGAGGCGTTTTTAACTGGGCATTGCTCTTGCAGCCAAAAGTACCCCTGAGTTTCACAACCAGCACCTTCCAAAATGGATTATGTAGATGGGATGCTAACAAGATATATGGAGTACGGGGGAAAGAATTTCTATGGACAAGTAACTTCTTTAATTCTCACAACCACCCTGTGAGGTGGATAATAACATTATCCCCATTCCATAGACAAGGAAACTGAGGCACAGTTTCTGACTCTGGAGCCAACATTCAACCCCTCAGCCATACTGACCGTCTAAATGCTATTTTCTATAACGTAAAACGCTACAAGGCCAATTAGATCCATTTGGGGAACTCTCTAAATGAGGTTAGAGGTGAAAGGAGGGCAAAAGACAATATTTCACAGAAAAATATCGACATAAGCCGATCAATCAGCCATCCCACTAATGGATACTGAGGGCTTACAAGTGTCAGGCTTCAGCCAGGTGCAGGCTGTAAGGTGTTATAAATCAGGCCCCGGGGCGCCTGGCTGGCTCCTGATCTCAGGATCATTGAGTTCAAACCCCACACTGGGTGTAGAGATCACTTAAATAAATAAAACTTAAAATTAAGAAGAAAAAAAAAAAAAAGATGCCTAGATGGCTGGTCGGTTAAGTGTCTAACTTCGGCTCAGGTCGTGATCTCACGGTTCGCAACGTTGAGCCCCTCATCGGGCTCTCTGCTGTCAGCATGGAGCCTGCATCAGATCCTCTGTTCCTTTCTCTCTCTGCCGCTGCCCCACTTGTATTCTCTCTCTCTCTCAAAAATAAATAAAACATTTAAAAAAAATAAAAAATAAATAAGGCCCCAGCCTTATTTATTTATATAAGGAGCTTACAACACTGTTCTGGCCTGAATTGTGCTTACAGTCCCCAAGTTCATCCAACGAAGCCCCAATCCCCAGTACCTATATTTGGAGAGAGGGCCCATGAGAAGGTAATTAAGGGGTTCATAAGTGTGGGCCCTAAACCAGTATGGCTGGTGTCCTTATGAAAAAAGGAGATTAGGACTCACACATGGACAGAGGGAAGACCATGTGAAGACACAGGGGGAAGATGGCCATTTACAAGCCAAGAAGAGAGGCCTCCGAGGAAGGCACCTGCAGACACCTTGATCTTAAACCTCCAGAACTGTGAGAAAACAAATTTCTGCTGCGTAAGCCTCGCGGTCTGTGGGATTTTGTAACGGCAGCCCTCACAAACGAATACAAACATGTTACACTCACACATGCTCACAAAGATGCACGCACCGGAAATTTAATAAAGCCAAGCTGACAGCAGAAGAGAAACCCAGACAACTTTACTCTGTATCCAGGGGAGACTGGTTAAATAAACCGTGGTTCTCCCACACAGTGGGATGTTCTGCAGCCATTAAATGAGATGTATAGGTGTGGATGGGGCACGATCTTCAAATCATATCCTAACGTGAAGAAAAGCAAGGGACAGAGCCGAACGAGGAGCATAGCACCCATTACAGAAACGGAAGCAGATACTAAAAACTCAGAGAGTGCCTGCGGCTAAGGTGGGGATCAAGAGCCACTTTTCACTGTGTGCCTTGTTCCAGAATTTGGCTTTCTTTAAGTTTTATTTGAGAGAGAGAGAGAGAGAGAGAGAGAGCGCGCGCATGAACCTGCAGGGGAGGTGCAGAGGGAGAGGGAGAGAGAGAATTCTAAGCAGGCTCCAGGCTCAGCGCAGAGTTCAATCCCACAACCCTGGGATCATGACCTGAGCTGAAATTAAGAGTCAGATGCTGTATTATGCACAGTGAAATAAGCCAGTCAGAGAAGGACAGATACCATATGTTTTCACTCATATGTGGATCTTGAGAAACTGAACAGAAGACCATGGGGGAAGGGAAAAAAATAGTTACCAACAGAGAGGGAGGGAGGCAAGTCATAGGAGACTCTTAAATACAGAGAACAAACTCAGGGTGGACAGGGGGTGGGGGAGAGAGGAAAGTGGGTGATGGGCATTGAGGAGGGCACTTGTTGGGATGAGCGCTGGGTGCTGCATGTAAGCGATGAACTACGGGAATCTACCCCAAAAACCAAGAGCACACTTTACATACTGTATGTTGGCCAATTTGACTGTGAATTATAGTAAAAAAAAAAAAAAAATTAAGTCCAATGAAATAAAAAAAAAAAAAGAAAACGAGAAAAAAAAGAGTCAGATGCTTGGGGAGCCTGGGTGACTCAGTAAGTGTCCGACTCTTGGTTTCCACTCAGGTCATGACCTCAACGGGGTCAGGCCCTGCATCGGGTTCCGTGCTGAGAGCGGGGAGCCTGCTTGGGATTCTGTCTCTCCCTCTCTCTCCGGCCCTCCCTGACTTGTGTGTGCACATTCTCTCTCTCCCTCTCTAAATAAATTTTTTTTTAAAAAGCATCAAATTTCTTTTTTTTAACAAGAGCATGTGCTCCCTGCCCCCCCTCCAAATCTGAAGAAAGAAAGTGAAACTGTACATTTATGTAATAAGCCCACAGCACATGAGCAGAGGTACGGTCTACACCTGGGGCCCGTGAGCCACAGCCTGAGAAGCCAGTCTGCTCTGTGGCCTGTTTTGTACTGCCCGCAAGCGAAGTACGATTCTTACATGTTTCAAAGGCCGTAAAAGGGAAAAAAAAGGATATATGACAGAGAGCTATATGTAAGCTGCAAAGACTAAATATTTATTATGTGGTTCTTTCCACAACAAGTTTGCTGGCCGCCTGTGTAAACAATATGTTCAAAGCGGGGAAAGTTATTTGTGTCTGGAGGATATGGATGAAGGCTTCTCCGAGGACAGACCCGGGCCACCCCGAGGATGGTCAGGGCTGACGTGGACATCGAGCAGGGCCGTCCAGGCAGACCAGACAGCAGGAGGACAGACGCAAACAGAAGTCCGAGAAGGAGGTGTCTGGGGCAAAGGGAGGTCTGCTTCAACTGAAGAAGGGGTCGTAGGGGTTAACAGGATGGTTAGAAAGTACAGCTGGAACACGACTGAGAGGCTGCCCCAGATGCCAACCTAAAGGACTCGCTCTGGATGTGCAGGAAGCTTGTGAATGTGAATACTCCAGGGAGAAGGCACCGTGGCAATCACAGGTCCACCAGTTCCATTCGGTGGATAATGAAAACGGGGGCACAGGACAGATAAAAATATGACCTACCCAAGACCACCTGGCTCGTAAGCCACAAGGGGGCCTTAAATGCTGCCCTCCGGCTCACTGCTGTTTCTGTAGCCACGGAGAAGAGAAGGGAGAGGAGAAGGAAAGGGAGGAAGACCCAGGTAGTGATGGCTGGGATGAAAAAGGGAAAAAATCAAGGTAAGAGGTGATGTCAAGGGCAGAGAGCGGAAGGGAGGCTCGGCCTGAGCGGCTCTGGGAGGCGGTGTAGGGGAAGGGAGGGCCCCACAGGATCTGCACTGCGGCCTGGGGGGAGCGTGCTGTGCCCTAGAACCCGGCAGCGACCTCATTAAGCCCAGGCTCAGGCCTGTTCAGTTTCTAATCAGAAGAACGAAAATGGGACAGGACAGAGGAGGAGCATCCGCTCAGAGGTGAGTGTCGCCTGCTTGATTACACCTGCTTTTTCAAACAGGCAGGTACTGATCCCAGAATGCCAGTTCCATTCCGCGGCCTCCCCGAGTTCCACGATGACTACGTAACCCCGGCCAACTCGTCCAATGATAGGATCCTATCGAATACACCCCACGGTAGTACACAGATGCCACTTTAAAACCGTGACTGGGAGATAATCATCATCCGCCAACAGCCAAGTATTTTCCTAAGACTTAAAAAAATTCCTGATAAATACTTAACGGTCATCAAAGTGGACCCGCCACAAACACACTACTGTGTGCAGTTAAGTACGTAAGGAAAACCGGGGCACATCGGAGGGATCTTCCTTTTAGTCGCGATTTAAAGGTAATTCTCCACCTCCGGAGGCCTGTTTGTGACTTCCATCTCTGCCGGGCCGCTCTGAAAAGCCATTTCAGAGAACTAAAATGCAAATTAAAGAAGGAAGACCAATGCCCTGCCCTCCTTCATTTCCACTTGTTCGTGGGGGCGCAAAGGCTGCTCAGTTTGTACTGGTCCAGAGAGGACAGCTGGGCGTAGGGGAGGGAACGGTGTGTGGTCGGGAACAGCAGATGTCCGGACTGGATGGAGAGGATGAAGGAAACACACCAGCACGCACGTCCGTAACCACCACCGGCTCAGCGAGAAGCGTGTGCTCCAGATTGGCCACTATTGGCAGCTTCACCGTTGCCTGGCCCCCTCCTCTTCCGGGCGACCAGGCCTTCCCCCTCCCTCCCGAAGAGTTCAGGATACACAGAATATGCGCATACATACATCCATGTGCACATTTATTAGATGGTGTCTAATATCAGCTGGCATCCTGATTAGGGATGAAGGTTCAGCCAACCAGCAAGATAAAGGACTGTGTGGCAGGTAGGCCACAGGGCGGCCACGGAGAGGGTGGCAGCTTTTGTGGTGCTATAGGGTTTACTCCCTCGATCGAGTGGCAAATGGAGCCAGCCCAAGCCCACCTTGAATAGTTTCGCAGCTCGGAAGGGTCACAGAGGACCCAGAGACTGCAAAGCTGCTCACTAGACCTTAACACAGGGCCCTTCTAGGGGTAGAATTCCAGAGTAACCTCCACTTTCTTCTCTTCTCAATTGTTTGACATTTTATTAACAACACTGTATCTTTTTTTTTTTTTTTTAAATCTTATTTATTCATTCTGAGAGAGAAAGGGAGGAAGAGCAGAGAGAGAGGAGAATCCCAAGCAGGCTCTACACTGTGAGCGCAGAGCCCAACGCGGGGCTCCGACTCACAGACCCGTAAGATCATGACCTGAGCCAACATCAAGAGCCGGATGTTCAATGGACTGAGCCCCCCCCAGGCGCCCCTCAAGACTACATCTGTTTATAACATTTTCTTTTTAATTTAAAACCCAGGACACGGGGCTCTTGGCAAACATCCTGCAGGGATAAGCAGAACCTCAAACTTCATGTTTTGTAACGAGCTTCACAGAACTGAGTTCTGCTCCCTGAGGTGGGGCCCGGGTCCGGGTCAGCGCTCCTTTCCAGGGCAGGAAGAAGTTTTCATCGCGCTAAGGACGGAACTAATCCAGGGGAGTTCTGCACGCACCTGTCAAGCAGCTGTGCCCGTGCGCACCGGCTGGGCTGGCGGTCAGGAGGGAAGCGGGGGGTGGCCCCCCTCTGGTCGCAGGGACACTGCGGGGTACTTACTTGTCGATCAGCCCCTTCTGTTTCAGGATCCGGTACACTTCAGCAGAAGTCTGAGGTCCCTGGAGCTTCTGTCCATTCAGCATGTCTTTCTCCAACTCTTCAATGGTCTTAAAAACAAGGATGCAAACGCTATGGTAAAGACTAGAGAATCCCTTCTTTCAAGAGGTGAGCTGGGGAAGGGAGCTGCGATCCCCCCCTACGAGCCGAGGAAAGAGAGACCTACAAGCTACAGGGCTAAGGCCTCAGTACCCTTAAGGGAAAGGAGACAGGCATGGGCAGGACACGCCCAGCAAACGACAAATGCTGGGCTCTATCCCCGCTGCACTGTGGCTCGCCCCGGCCCAAGAGTCTCAAGTGAGGGAGGAGGGGTGGGCGAGGGCAGGCCAGGGGCTACCTTCCCGGTTCTGGCAAATGCCTCGGCCACCCTGCGGTTCCGGCCTCCGTAGCAGGTGGTGATCAGGTCGGCCACGCCGCAGCTCTCCAGGAAGGTGGCCGTGGACACCTGGCCCTTGCAGAAGATCTTGGCGAAAGCGATCATCTCCATGAGCCCCAGGCGGATGACGGCAGCTTTGGTGTTGTCTCCGCTGTGGAGGCCGTCGCAGAACCCGGCGCCCACGGCTACGATGTTCTGGAAGGAATCGGGGAAGCCCGGGCATGCCCGTCACACACCCGCCGCAGACAAGGGGGCTGGGAAGGTGGGGGCAGAGGCGGAGGCAGGGACCCCCGGCCCGTGGTCGGAACGCTCCGCCCCAGCGTCCCCAGCGTCGGCTCCTGTGCCCTGACTGTCAAAGACGAAAGGAGGGACCAGCCTTCTGTGCTCCCGTTCGTTCGTAGGACCAAGAGCCCGGGTCTGGGGTTAGTAGGAGACAGCAGCTGAGGAACATCGGCCAGAGAGCTAGAACGGTTGCTCGTAGTCTCTGGCTAAACACTGTTTGCACAAACTGACTTTCTGTCTTTTTTGTTTCCAAATGCTTTATTCAGCTTGACCGGTCATATGGGAAGGTATGCAGGTCACAAGCACACGGCTCGATGATATGCTCCCAAACCAAACACCGCCCTGTAACCGGAACCCTGATCCAGAAACAGAACGAACCAGTGCCCCAGAATGCCACCCTCACACCCTCTTCCAGTCGGCACCCCCAAAAGGTAGCCAGTCTCCTGGCTTCTACCAGCATAGATTTGCTTTACCTGTCTTGAGATTTTATGTGAAAAGAGGCGCACAGTACGTAACCGTTTGTGTCTTTGTCTCAGTTGGACATCATGTTTGTGAGATTTAGCTGTATTTTTACCTACAGCACACTGATTTTCATTGCTGTTCTGCACTCCACCGTGTGAATACAGTGCAGTTTGTTTTAATTTTTTTTTAAATGTTCATTCATTTTTGAGAGACAGAGAGAGACAGAGCATGAGTAGGGGAGGGGCAGGGAGAGAGGGAGACACAGAATCCGAAGCAGGCTCCCGGCTCCAAGCCGTCAGCACAGAGCCGGACGCGGGGCTCGAACTCACGGACTGCGAGATCATAACCTGAGCCGAAGTCAGATGCTTAACTGACTGAGCCACCCTTGGCGTTGGGGTAGTTCCCAGTTTGGGGCCACGGCAAATGGTGCTGCTGTAGCCACGCTGGCCCATATCCCTTGGTGACCACAAGCGGGCATTTCGGTTGGGTGTGTACCCAGCAGTGGAGTTGCTGGGTCCGTAGGTCTACGTATGTGCCGGTCAAGTTTCAGCCTTTTGCCTCATGCAATTATCCCTATGCAAGCACTCGTGGGGCCCCCGCTCTTGCATGAACTCGCCACACACAAGGCAGATGAGACACAGACCTGCCTCTCCAGGAGTGGATAATCTGGTTCAGGGGTCAGCAAACGAAGGGCCATCTGCATGTTTGGGTAAATAATGTCGTACTGGAAGCCATGCATCCCTGCTTATTTGTGTACCATCTGTGGTTGCCCTGGCGCTGTTAACAACAGATTTGAGTAGTTGCGACACAGACCATAGGGGCCACAAAGCCCACAACATTTCCTGTGTGGCCCTTACAGAAAAAGTTTGCCTACCTCTGGCCTAATGGGACAACAAAACGTGTGACGATAATTATAACCTGGGCAGAAAGTGATGTTCTGCAAGAGGTACCGAAAATCTGATTTTCCTTTCAACCCATGTGTATTACGCATGCCGTGTGGGGGCGGGCCCTGGTGGCAGAGGACGTGGGGGCTGAGGGCGCCCCCAGGGAGGAGCTGCAAAGACAGAATGCGGCCCAAAGCTTGTCCTCAAAGAGTTGACGATAGGGGCGCTGGCTGGCTCAGTCAGTTAAGCGTCCGACTTTGGCTCAGGTCATGATCTCACGGTTCATCAGATCGAGCCCCTCATTGGGGTCTGTGCTGGCAGCACAGAGCCTGCTTCGGATCCTCTGTCCCCGTCTCTCTCTCAAAAATAAATAAACATTTTTTTTAAAAAGTTGACACAGGGCACTTGGGTGGCTCAGTCCGTTAAGCGACTGACTTCAGCTTGGGTCATGATCTCACAGCCCATGAGTTCGAGCCCCATGTCAGACTCTGTGCTGACAGCTCAGAGCCTGGAACCTGCTTCAGATTCTGTGTCTCCCTCTCTCTGCCCCTCCCCTGCTCGCACTCTCTCTCGCTCGCTCAAAAATAAACAATAAAAAAAATGTTATAAAAAGATCAGAGACCCGACATGAACACGTGCAGGTTTTGGATGAATTCGCACTTTCTGTGTTCTCGATAGTCTCCCCGGGAGGTTATGAGCTGTTCGGACAGAGCAACCAAGCAGCTTCCAGGGGGGTCAGTCTCGCCCTACAGAGGCCCGACTCCATTTAGACCCTGCTTCCTACAGCTGCAGGTAGAGCTGACGAGGAATCGGGTCTTCTGCAGAGCGCTTAGGTTTCCAAAAGCTACTGACTTCTGTCCGGACCCTGCAAAAGCCTCCCAACCCCTTCCGGCCACACAGGCAATGTGAACTGCAGGCTTCGTGAGGCCCCGACGGCGGCCATCTCTCCCCAAGTACCCACTGTGTGCGCTCACTGACGCAGGAAGTGGGCGGTTCCTGGCGTGGCACACTCTAGGGTCTGGCAGCATCCGGAAGAGAGGAGGGGACAGGCAGTGTGAGAGGAGCCCTGAGGTGCGGAGGGGCAAAACAACACCCTGACCTTTTACGTGGGGCGCTGTGCAAAGACGAGCCGGGGATGGTAAGAACACACAGGGCTGGGTCCAGACAGACCCAGACACCCCTCCTGGCAGAGGAGCCGGACTAAGCAAGCCATGGGGAGGCACCAAAAGCACACGCACAGATATCCAGATGGTCTCTGGTTCTGACTCTGCTGTGTGACCTTGGGAAAATTACTCCACTTCTCTGAGCCTTCTTGGCCTCAGTATTAAAATTCGGGGCTTAGAGAAGATCTTTCAAGGCCTTTCTAAGGTGGTGACATCCCTCCAGGAAAGCTGGTACAGCTGTGGCCTGCCCTGGGGCTGCAGATAAGTGGGACAGTGCTGAGGCAACAAAGAGACACCTGGGGACCTGCAGGAGGACTGACCACCAGGCCGTGAGGCCAACTGCCGGGTGAGCCTGCCAAATGGTTTTATTGAAGTTACCATGGCAACATGTCAAGGATCCAGATGGTTAGACTGTTAAAATGGCTCTCCGACGCTCCCTCGACTGTCTCCTGTGCCCCCTTTGCCACGATGGGACCCATTCTGGGGGTTACTTGACAGACCAACCACAATACGAGGCTATATATCGAAGGAGATAAAACAGCTTCCTTCCACCAGGGGGCTCCTAGACCCAGAGGAGAGAGGGATTATTTATGAAGTGCCCCCCCGTGAGGCCCCTGTGCACAGTCTCACGGGCACTCTCTGGAGAGCCCTCACACGTGTGTACCCAGCCCCCTGGCGGGCTCAGGGAAGTTCAGCGGCTTCCCAGGAAGACAGGCCCTTCGTCTGGCCCCTCAGGCCCACTCTCTTCCCTGGGCCTTACTGCTTCCAGGGTGTGGCTAATGTGGCCCGGCCACTCCCACCCCACCTAGCGTCAGAGACCTTCCTGAACCCTCTGCAGCCAGTCAGGTGTCAAAGGGGAGTGCCTCTCTGGCCTTCAGGAAGGCTTAGGAAGTAAACAGGGTAGGCTTAGGAGAAGAAAAGATTTATGGAAGGAAATAACAAAAACAACACTTAATCTTATCGAACCTCTAAGTGCTTCCTGTAGTATTAACTGGTTTAATTGTCACAACATTCCTACAAGGCGGGTCCCATTATCATGCAAAGAGGAGGTGAGGAAACCCACACACAGGGGAAGTAGTTCCCCCAAGGTCACACAGTGGGTACCTGCCCGACCAGGCAGCCTGGCCCCAGAGTTCTCTCCAGGGGGTAGATCACACTGGGCCGCTGGGGGTCAGTGAATGAAAGGCACAGAGGGGCCACCTCAGATTCAAGATAAGAACTTTCTAACAGGAAGAGCTGACCTCACTAAAAGACTTGGAGGTAAAGGAGTGAGCCCTCGGTCACTGGAAGCATCCAAGCAGGAGCTGTACTGGATGAGCCCTGAGCTCCAGAGCAATGCTTCTGACCTTTCGTGTCACTGCTCCCAGAGAAAAAGCAAATGAGGGTGTCCAAGGCTTGGGACTGCAGCCGGCCTCTTGGCCCTTCTGTGACCCCCTTCCCCGCAGGGCACACAGGTCAGGATCACCCCAGTTTCCCCCAGATGGCTGACCTCCCCACTTTAGAAGGTGGGGGAGGAGGAGCAGGAGACGACGGCAGGGTAAACTCCTCCCTTCTAAGGGGACCCTGGGCGCCGATCCAGTTTAATCGCCTTATGATGGATCTTGAAACCCTCACTCTCTCCCCTCCACCACTTATCACTGTCAAAAGAAAAATAAACACACTGAGCCAGTCAGATCGTGTTTGAATAGCATCCGAGCAGATGTCCTCTGAGATCACTCAGCTGTGAAAGTTATCATTATCCACTGTGCATTTAAATCTGCTTTAAACTATTCTGGAGCTAAAAATACCATGATTTTCAGAAGACAGGCGCGCGCGTAAGCCCTTCCCCATTTCCTGGGTTGTGGCAACGCTCAGAGGCCATCATTCGCCCTGAAGTGCCATCTTTGCAATTCTGAGCCAGGGCGGGTTGGATGGGACTCGATTCCTTCCACTCCTAGCCTCCCACAGAAAGAACGTAAAAGTGGAGAAGCTGGCCAAGGCCGCCCGCAGGCTATGCAAACACGCTCCCCACCTAGGACGCAGGGCTCTGGTGAAACGCAGGCAGCGGTCACTGTTTCCTGTACCCCCAACACTCCACCCGATTCTGCCTGAGGCCAGGTACCGGAGCTTTGGGCCTAAGGGAGAACTCTGACTGCACAGTGTGGGCCTACCCCCAGCAAGGCTGGCAGGTTAGGCCCTGCGTAGGGCGGCCTGGCTGAGGTGTCAACCCCGCACGCACGTAGCCCACCAGGCTGGGCACCCCGATGAGACGCGGCCTTAGAAATTTCTGCAGTGATGTAAATGCCTGACATCTGCTCGCCCCACCGGGTAGCCAGGAGCCACTGGGACTCACCAAAGACTCGTGTGGGGCCGGAGTCTTTGAAACTGAACCGTTAATTTGTTTTTTTTTAAGTTTTAACGAATT